AAACATCACGCCCCCTGGGGAGCCCCTGGAATGGCCCCCGGAGCTCAGAGCCCTTGCGTCACCCTGTGCACCTCTGGCTGGAGGCCCTTCCCTCGCGCACTGGCCCCGAGGGAGCCCGGAGCGCAGACGGGGCGTCAGCCTGGGCGTGGCGGGGCCTGTGGAGATAACTGGGGCATCCTTTCCGGGATGAAGGAGCTTAGAGTGGAACTGGGGGGACCAACCGTGCTGAGAGTTACAGCTTTAACATCCCTCACAGTGAGAACACGCGAGAGCGGCGTTTGGTCAGATTTGGGGTCAGACTTTCCTTTTTGAAAGGCTAGCTCTTGGGCTGAGATTCACACTGCACTGTACTCTGTTGTATTGTGTTACACTGTGTTGCACGGCACTGTATTGTACTTTTTGTTTCTTTCATCAAGGGAAACACTGTGTGAAGATTCAGTTTTCGAGACCTGCTGGGGAAAGCTTTAGGTCCCTCTCCCCTGTCCCCACCCTTTCCAGTTCATGTCAAAGCCAGCACAGCCACCCTCCTAAGCTGAATATTTTTGTTACCTGTGTCTTTCAGCAGCATTCTTGAACTCCCGCTATCTTTTCAATTTTCAGGTTTAGGCATTTTTTATTGACTACAGCAGAGAAGGGAAGACTCGAGTCTAAGAAGCAATGGGCAGGGCCAGCGGGGGGCCCGCAGCTGGCGCCTCCCATCAGAGTCGTCTCGGGTCTCCCAGGATGAGGCCCTCTTACAATTCCTACCGAGCTCCGTCATTGACCAAGAGCAGTGCCCGGGGAGAGAGTGACGGGGTGACCGACCTCAGCGGGGACCACGGCCCGTGATGCTCCTGGCAGGTGGAGGTGGGAGTTGCGAGAGACTGCGACCCTCAGGGAGAGAAACAAGGTGAGCTCCACAAAGCGCCTAGACTTTCCGCCTGGAGGCATCTTCCGGGTGTCAGTGCAGGGACAGAGGCCCCAGGGAGGGCACAGCAGTCTCTGCCTGATGAGACAGAGGTCAGAGTTCAGCTGGACTGAGGACCCCCACCGGCAGAGTATTGGAAAGGAAGGAGCTCCGTCAGCAAGAGCTCCGAAGTCCGCACGGTGTCCCTCTGAGCGTCTGGCCGGATAGAAGCTGGGCGTTTTTAGAGTGAACCACCACGGGCCTCGTAAAGGGCAGCAGCCTGTGAGCTACGAGCCGAACGATTCCCAGAGTTCACAGGGGGCGGGGAGGTAGTTTAGTCCCAACCGTCAGAGTGGGGAGACCACACTGAACACCCAGGCGTCTGGTGGGGACTTTACAAGGGTCACGCCTTTGCCGTAGGCGGGACAAACCCTGGAATAAAGGACCACGCGAACAAAGCTTAAAAACAAGTCTCCACAGGCTCAGTTCGATCTTGAAATAATTTAAGTACCTGCCAGAGCCGAGTCCAACTCTCTCTGACAGAAGGCAACAAAGTCCAGACGCTCGGCAAGGGAAAAGCTACACGATCCAGCAGATAATTAAAAATTACTGAACGTGCCAAGAAGCAAGGAATGGTGGCCTGTAACCCCAAGAAAAATTAGTCCACAGAAACAAAGAGTAAGAAACTGAATCCTTAGGCATATTTTTGTCTCTTATCCAAATTTCCCTTCTCATAATTAGCAACTGCTTTTACCCATCAGACTTGTTGAAAATAAAGCCACTCCTGTTTATCTACCATCTGATGTGCTTGACATCTAATTAACTAAACATTTACAAGAAAATCCTCAGCGACCGGCTGACAGCCTCTGCTGCAAGGAAGAGCCAGCGGCTGGGCTTGGTCGGGTGAGAAAAGAAAACCTGCTCTCCCTGGTCCCTGGGAAAGCAAGCACCAGATAAACCCCTTCCAGGGAGGCGATGCGCCCGCTTCCTTTTCAGCTTCTCTGCGATTTGCCGCCTTGTCTCCCATCCCCCCCCCGCCCGTAGGAGGTACACGCCCATGAGCAAGAACCCACACGGCAAACACTGGCACAGCCCCCGGAGATGAAAGTGGGGAAACACTGTGAGGCTCTACTGGGATGGCCCCTTGGCTCTCCCTGATCTTGGGGGAAATTGTGCCAAATTATTTTTTCCTTTCATGACTACACCCAACATTCAATAACTATGACTTTACAAACAGCTACCACCTCTCAGAGCCTGGGGAACGTGGCAGTCGCCTGTGCGTAGGATGCGGTGGGCCCAGAACGGGGGGGAAGGCAGACGGCCATCTGGGCTTCTCAGGGGTGGCTTAGGAACTTAGATTTTGCTTAGTTTCCTAAAAACGAAATCAATCAAAATTCAAGTCTTTATTTTAAATGTTACCCCTGCCCCCAGCTCTCGATGTGCGGATGTGTGTGTGAAAACGAGTCTCTAAGCCTAAGGACACGTCTGCTCCTAGGCTACGTGGAGCCTCGCTGGGTCGCAGGGCCAGGCAGTAAGTAGCTCCCATGTCCTTTGCTGTACGTCCTGGGTTCAGGATCCTCTGCCCTGCCTCCGACTCGGGTCACGGTGTGGGAGGCAGTGCTCAGGCTGACCCACTCCATGCACCACCGGGACGGAGAGACTTTCCTAACCATCTCGCTGGGGTCTGCGAGCTCTCAGAGCTGACAGCAAAGGCTCATTAGAAACGCAGTTCAAACTATATACTAATGAGGGGAAATGCCTGCTTTAACTTGTACCTGCTAGTGTTCCCTGCGGGGCTTTTGAAGGGAAGTAATCGCCTCCTTGTTACTGCAAAGAGTTACTGGGTGTGTGTTTTCCTGTAGCCGCCACCGTCCTTTCCTCCCTGAACTCCCCTCCAGCCCAGGAGCTACTTGTTCCCAGGTGGCGCCGGCATCTCTCAGGTAGTCCACTGTGACCACCCTTGATTTCCAGTCCACTGTGACCACCTCTTGATTTCCGGTCCACTGTGACCACCTCTTGATTTCCAGTCCACTGTGACCACCTCTTGATTTCCGGTCCACTGTGACCACCTCTTGATTTCCAGTCCACTGTGACCACCTCTTGATTTCCGGTCCACTGTGACCACCTCTTGATTTCCAGTCCACTGTGACCACCTCTTGATTTCCGGTCCACTGTGACCACCTCTTGATTTCCAGTCCACTGTGACCACCTCTTGATTTCCGGTCCACTGTGACCACCTCTTGATTTCCAGTCCACTGTGACCACCTCTTGATTTCCGGTCCACTGTGACCACCTCTTGATTTCCAGTCCACTGTGACCACCTCTTGATTTCCGGTCCACTGTGACCACCTCTTGATTTCCAGTCCACTGTGACCACCTCTTGATTTCCGGTCCACTGTGACCACCTCTTGATTTCCAGTCCACTGTGACCACCTCTTGATTTCCGGTCCACTGTGACCACCCTTGATTTCCAGTCCACTGTGACCACCCTTGATTTCCAGTCCACTGTGACCACCCTTGATTTCCAGTCCACTGTGCACCATGGACTCCCAGTAGAACCAGTAAGTAGGAGACTTCAGTTCCATTTCAAGAACTTTCTTAATAGAGAAATGGGCCTTCCAGGGAGGTGGTGAGCTCCGTTTGGAGAGGTACCCGCAGAGACTGGTGCGCCTGGGGGCGTGGACGAGGGAAGTCACACTCCTGGGAAAACGTCAGACACACGGAGACACACAGAAGCCTGGAGAAGACGCTCGCTCTCGAGGACACAGAAGAGGAACCCTCCACAGGATCTACGAGTTAGGACACCAGCGCTGAACTGCAAGCGAAAGGTTCCACCATTCCCCGAACTTAAGTCATTTTTCATTCAAGCAATAGTTACACCACTTAGGCACCTGGGGGGAAACGCCATCATTTAACGGGCTAGGTCATCGCAAACCTGCTTCGAGGCTCAGCCACTTCAAGTACTGTTCTTGCCGCCCACTGCCCTCCTTCGCCAGATGTTTCTCCACATGCACCTGGTGTTGAGTCTGCGCCCTCACAGCCCCGGGCGTCGGTGCAAATGCACCCTGGCCTCTCCTTTCCTGGCCTTTCTGGCAGACGCCTCTTGGCTCAGAGGCCTGATCGAGTCAGCAGGCCTGCAGCGCTGCGTGTGCAGTAGGCAGCTTCTTTAAATACCTCTGTAAGTTATAATAAACTGTCCCACGTGAGGACGGATCGGGGCATCTGCTTCGTAAATTAGCCTGATGTAATACTGAGGTTAAGAAAAGAGGGTTCTGTTAAGTTGGCTGGTCCACTTTGTTTAATGTAAATAACACCTTCTGCGTATCTGAGTTTGGCTGGTACGTTGCAATTCTTGCTTCCTTCCCCAGAGCCCAAATGAAATAACCCTGAACCTGCTGATGTACTTTCAGAACAAGCATTCCGGCCCCCATCAGAAGGGAGGGACAGCGGAGCTCCTATGACTCAGGAGGACCCCAGGGAACTAGGGAGTCACTGAATGCGTGGGACCAGGAATCAGGGTTCCTCCGGCTTTTAGATGTGTTACTCTGAGCAGGTAACCTGAACGTGATGAGCCACAACCGTGTAGAATGACAGTGAGAAAAAAACACATGATGACCCCATAGTCAGCCACATATTACGGTTCACTGCTCCAGGCCAGGCCCTGGACAGAACTGCGATGAGACAGAGGGGTCCCTCTGGGGAGGGCGTAAAGGGGAAAACACGTGGTTTTGCCAGGGCCGTAGTAATATAACCCCACAGACTAGGTGCCTGAAACGGAAATGCTCGTCTCAGCTTGGAGCTAAAAGCCCGAGACCAAGGTATCTGCAGGTTGGGTCCTGAAGCCACGGGGCTGGGGGAGCTCTGAGCCCGGTGGCCTCTGCACTGGTCCCGATACACTGAGTCGCTTCCCATGGTGCCATGTGCTCAGGTCGCCTACTGAGGACACAGGCCACCTGTGGGGGGTCAGTGGCTCTTCAGGGGACAGGTTCCTGCCCACAGGGGCCATCAGAGCAGGGCCGAGTGTGAGGCCGGGGCCCAGGCTCCCCGCCCCGTGAAACCCACGCCCGCCCCAATGACTGTCTTCACTGCACGGCCAACACCACGCCTTCCAGGGAGGTTTTATTGTTTCACAACCATGAACACACAGAACGTGGCTGTCACAGCGAACGCTCCAGACGGAAGACTCGGCCGAGCCGCCCCCGCCCCACCCCTGCAGCCTCCTTCCACACGTCTCCAGAGATGGCTGCCGCGTCCTTCCTCTGTGAACTCGAGAGTGGAGAGTCGGCATTTTAAGTAGCAGGAACCATCGGCAGCAGGGAAGCAGGAAAACTAGGGAACGGCTGATGGGAAACGGACATAAAGCCTCTCCCATGTGTGGTGACGTCGGGGTGGGAGAGCGTGCCCCCGCTCAGTGTCCCTCCTCCCCAGGCCCCGGTCACACGGGGCCCTCGGTGACGCCCTCCAGCGGCAGGCTGGGTGCGCTGTCCGCGGCCGGCCGGTCCTCTTTCTTCAGCGAGGTCGGCACTCGGAGGCTGACGTAGGGTTTGTGACAGGCCGTGTTGGCCAGAGGCGGGTAGTGCTGTCTGTAGCAGATGTACGCAAAAATGAGGCCGATGACTCCGCCAACAAAGGAATCTGCGCAGGAAAGAGCAAACGGAGAGCTGCGTCAGGACTCGCTCGGAGGTGGCCAGGTGTGTCTCCCGGGAAGCACCTCTCCCACCCGCTCCAGCAGCAGGCTTGCTGACCGGGCCCCCGACACACTCGAGAGAAGCCTGGCTGGGGGAATAAACCTCGGGGGCTCTGCAGGCGTTTCTGGACCTTAAACATCCCTTTAAAATGGGTCCTTGATTCCTTCCTCCTCCTATCTCTTAACTACGCACCTGAGCCTCGCGTGAGCTCAGATCCGCATTCCTGATTTTAAAAACTCTGATCTTGGAAGCAGGATCCCAGCCACCTCTGCGGAGCTGACTGCCTTCGCGGCTGTCATTTCTTTTTCGTTAGCGAGTTCCCGCTGGAGGCCTGCAATATGGCCCGTGCACCACAGAAGCCCAGCGGGCGCTGTCTCTGCCTGGGGGATGCCATTTCCCCGGGAAGAAATGAACCTTCTGAGTCACAAAGTGAATAAAATGTTTTCCGATGCACCAGGACCGGCAAACTCAACAGACCTCCGGCAAACTCAACAGACCTCCGGCCGGAGAGGCCTGGCCCCTCCTACAAGATCTCGGCAGGCTGGAGGGCGGGAGGGGCCGGCGAGGCGGGAGGAGCGCCTGCAGGCGGGACAGGCCCCCCACGCGGCAGTGCCTTGCCAAAGTGCACACTCAGCTGGTGCCCGAGAGACCCACCAAAGCAGCACGCCCACAACCCTCGGGTGTGGGTGTGGGTGTGTTCAGGTGCAGGCATCCTGTGCACACCTTTAACCGCGCCTATGGGTTATTCTTGCCCAGAAGATCCCAACACAACGTGACTCCTCCCCTAACAAAGGAAACTAAACTCTCGTGACGGCCGCCATGCTGAGCTGACCTCCCCGGGTTCCGCTTCCGCCTGTCACGTGGACCCCGCACACCTGCAGAGGCCCCAGCCGCACTTTACAGAAGACACTCAGGCTCAGAGAGGCTGAGGGGCTCTCCAGAGCCACCCCCTGGATCATGACTGATGAACTCCAGGGCCCTGATTCTGCACCTTCTCAGGAGGTTAACAGACAGGAAGGGATCTCACAGGCTGCTGCTGAGGTGCTGGCCGTGCCCACCTGCTCTGGCACAAGCAAGCGGACACGCTTCTGATCTTGTGCTGTCCAGTCCCAGGAGGAACACGCCCCCCCTGTCACCATGGCAATGCCCAGCATCTCTGAGCTGGCTTGACTGGAGGCCTTGTGGGCTCCATGACTCAAGACACTAACGTAAAAATCAACTCTGGCCAACTTGACAAACTCACGTCGTTGTTCATGTTCTTTTTACTCTATTCCTAGTCAAGCTTTCCGTCTCTGTGACTTTGACTTTCTTTAAAAAGAACTTGCCCAGCCCATGTGGCTCAGTGGGAAGGAGGGAGACTGGCAAGGAGGAGTCGGCAATAATCCAGGCAACAAACAACAGTGGTTTGGACTAGACCGGGAAGAGGAAGTTGGGTTCTGTAAATATTTCGAACATAGAGCCAGTAAGAGAAACCAGGGAAAGTCACGGGGAGCAGAGGGAGGATTCCCTGGAGTAACAGGAAGCAAGGCTGTCCATGGGACAGAGGGCACGTGAGGCGATGGCTATTTACTGCGTATGAATATGTAACCGAGAAGCCAGACGTACTTCCCAAGATCACCACACACAGGTACTTGTACACTGGGCGCAGGTGCTCCCTTAGAAATCGAAAAGGAGTCATAAAAACCTCATCATATTACTGTTAACTGAAGTCTACAAGGAGCCGGCCTCGGGTTTTGCTGATGGCCGTGGGCTCCCCATGAATTCTCATCGTGATGGACGGCCCCCGCCCACGGTCGCTGGGCAGCTCAGTGCACCAAAGAAAAGCCACAGCTAATTTATCTCCATCAGGCGGCCTGCCTCAGGCACCACCTACGCAGCAGGCAAAGGCCTCTCGGTCTGTCCCTTCTGCGGGCTGGAAACCTTGAGGCTGCCTCGATTACTCTCTTAATAAATGAGTGTTGAATGAATACATCGTCCCACGCCTTGAACACTGCTGCTTCCTAACATGTAATAAGGGAAAGAAAAACAGAGCTGAGGTGCTGGTTAGCTCCGGGTTTCTCATCCTCAGGGCAGACATCTGGGCCTGGGTAAGTCTGTGTTGTGGGGGCGGTGCCACCTTGTACATTGTAGGATGTCTGGCAGCGTCCCTGGCCTCTACCCACCAGATATGTAGTAACCTCCACTCCCTGTTGTGAAAACCAAAAAGATGTCTCCAGACATTGCTAAATGTCCCCTGGGAGGTACAGTCTCCCTACCCGCAGCTGAGACCACTGGTGTAGAGTGACAGTTGGCTCCACAAAAGGGATTCAGGTAAAGTGAGCCTGGCTCAGCCCATCAGAGCATCCAAGGAAGGGCACACTCTTCCCATGGCTGAGTCCAGGGTACAAGCTGGGCAGAGGGTGGCGCAGCTGACCTGGTACGTGAGCCACACCAATGACCTGTGCCAACCGATGCACACTCAGTCCTGGCTGCAGAAGTTAACCATGACCTGTGCCAACTGATGCACACTCAGTCCTGGCTGCAGAAGTTAACCATGGCCTGTGCCAACCGATGCACACTCAGTCCTGGCTGCAGAAGTCAACCATGACCTGTGCCAACCGGTGCACACTCAGTCCTGGCTGGGCTGCAGAAGTCAACCGTGACGCAGCTCTGTCCCTCCCTCCAGCCCAAGTATGGCCCTAAACATCACTGAACATAATTCTCTCTCTGGTTCCCCATCAGCCCACAGAGCATTAATTTAATTCTCCCTTTTCTGTGCCAACTTCCCTCCTATGCCAGTTGGATGGGATGAACCTGAGGCTCCACAGCCAGCAGGCCTCGGGGGCACCAGCTGCGTGATGAGTCCACCATTTTCCTGAAGCCAGGCACCAATTCTTCATTCTTTCGTCTGCACCAGCCCCAGCCAGGTGATGGGTAACAAATGGGTTAGGACCAGGAGCGTGCAAGAGGCCAACCTCCCATCCTAGGTTTTCAGGATAGAATCTCCACACAGCTCTCACTGCCCTCCATATGGAGCAGAAATCTATTCAATTCAGAAACTGTCATCATTTCAAATCCAAAGTGGCTAAGTAAACATGAAAACCTAAGATTCACAGCTTCCAGAAGACAGTGTTCCGAGAACGGCTGCCTCTAAGTCGGCTGTTTGGGGAAAGAACACAATTCTGTCCCTTAGAAACAGGGCACTAGAGACCACCACCAATTTCACTTGTGCTGTGCGTTTTCACTTACAAAGCACATCCCGACCCATTACTGCATCCCATCTATGAAACAGCCTGAGCTATTTGGGACGTGCTGTTCCCCTGGTCTTACGGAGCCACAGTTCACGAGGGAGAGATGAGCAGAGTCTACAAAACACCAGCCAGCCCATGGCAGTCTTCATGGGAATATGCCCGAGTCCTATAAACCACCATGATTCTGTTGGAAAATACTCCCGGTGCCAAGGCTGCTGTGGGGGTGCCGTGTGTGGGCTCAGTCACTCGCTCCCTGCTTCCCTCTCATGATGTAGCCTCAGGTTATCCAGAACCTGATCCAAGTCGTTGCTAAAAGTGGAGAAGGGAGGGCTCAGGGCCCAGCCTGCGGCCCTCCACTGACCACCCCCATCATGCATCCGCCTGGCCAGGCCACGCATCCGCCTCCTTCCCCTGCAGCCTCCACCCTCCACCCCCAGGTCGAAGCTACTGCTGGAGGCTTGTGATGCCCAGAGCATGAGCCCCAGGAAGGTGGAGGGTGGACCTGAGGCCAGGGAAAGAGCGAAGCAGCTGGGGAGGTGCTGGGGGGGGAGGTCCCCGAGAGCATGGGAGAAGGCCGCCCAGCGAGGAGCCCCCCTCACCTGGCTTCAACTGCCTCACTACCCCTAGAACACACACCTGGCAAGAGGTGAGACGAGGGCGGCCCCACAGGCACTGGGCTGCAGAAACAGAAAAGGGGGAGAGCAGTGCGTGTGGGCAGAGGGAGGGCAGGCAGGAAGGAGGTGCGGGCTGGATTCAGGCACATTTAGTTCAGTCTGTTTGCTTCAAGTTGGCACCCTGGGGCTCCTCACCAGGGCTTCTCAGACTTCATCATAAATAACAGACCTGCTTGTTAATAATGTAGAGTCCTGGCCACCATTCCTGACCCACCCCCTAGAGTCCAATTCTGGGCTCAGATCGATTGCCCCGTAGGAAAAACAGCCCAGGCCCGTGCCCCCAGAAGCCACACGTCCTGGGGACCCCACCTGTCTCTGCTCCCTGTCTACTGTGGCAGGTGCTACAGCTGATCTGCAGAGGGACATGGTGTGGCTCAGTTCTGTTCCAGGAACAAGCCCCTCACTCGTTCTGTGATTTCTGACTACATATAAGTCAGCCTCCCCCCACCTCGCAGCGGCTGCTGGGAACATTGCTGGCACAGATCCCTGGGCTGAACATCTCTCCTCAGGAAGCACATCCATGGTGAGAAATACGTCCTTGTGGGATGGATGTGAGATGTGAAAGGAGCCAAAAACCATCCAGCGCCAAGTCTGGGGACTCAGGCAAGTGACCCAACAGGGAAGTCACACACGGGTCCAAGGCCGAGGGCCCGCTCTCTCCGCAGGACTTGAGTAGCCCGAGTGTGAGGGAGAGAGGGAGACCCCCAATTCTGTCCCCAGCAGGGCAGAGTTAAGGCCAGAACCCCCCTGAACAGGCCCATTTCCTTTAAGACAATGTCCACTCTGTCACGTTACCTCCTCTGGTGTCCAACAGTGGGCACCTACTCCCCGCCACACAGGTGTTTCCACACCAGCCCTGGGGGAGGCGGGCAGGACTCACCTTGCCAGTGGTGCTTGTAGTCGCACATGCGGGACAGGGCGATCATCATGGCGCAGTACAGGGGCAGGACCGCGGCGCACAGCCTCCAGCTCTTCCCCCGCCCCGTCTCCGTGAAGCAGTGCAGCTTTCCGGCCAGGTAGAAGGTCGTGAAGCCGAGGCCCGAGAAGGCAACTGCCCGAGAGAAACAGCAGGTGTTACCCGGCAGGTGGTGAGTGGTGGGGACGCAGAGCATCCTGGGCACCTGTCTGCCATCATGCTGGCCCCAGGCTCAGGGACGTGCTGGCACCAGGCACCACGTGGGCAACCTGAGCTCTGCTAGAACTGAGCTGGCATGAACTCTCACCCCTGAGAACGACCTCTCAGGCTTTCCTGGGATCAAATCTGTCCTATTTCATTCGTCCGTCCATCCATCCATTCATTCAACAGAGGCTTCACGGGTACCCGCTGTGTGCTAGGCGGGCACTATTCTATTCTTCTGAGGTGTGGTGAACAGAGGATGCACTGGACGCTGTGTCTGGTCTCAAGGGCTCACCGTCTGATTGGAGGACATGGCCATGCTAACAGGTAACTTTAATATAATGTATTGAGCTCTATATAGGAAAAAAGTGCCCATAGAACAAGGCTGTGGTGACAGCCTAGATCTGGAGGAGTCGTCAAAGGAAGGGATTTGAGGCTCGGTGGCAGTCACAGAGATGGGACCAAATGCCACGGAGGAGTGAGTTGGGCGGAGAAGCCAGGAATCTCAAATTCTGTTTCCACTCTTAGAAATTATGTTGATTGGCATTTACAGTTGTAATGACAATACGTCTGTGCTAAATCCATGGTCAAGAGTGTGGAGCTGGGTGTAGCATGTGTAACCCCCACACTTTTCATTTAGTCGGGTTTAAAACACAGTTGGGGTTCGGTGAGGTTCCGGGTGGGTCTCCTGTGGGCTTAGAACAAGGATCCTCAGCTCTGGTGACACGCAGAGTCACCTCTAAAACCTGGGAAGCTTTAAAAAACGCCTCTAGCCAGGTCCCATGGCTAGACATTCTGCTGGTACTGGTCTGGAGTGGCCTTGGCGTGTGTGTACCTGTGTGTGCATGCATGCGTGTGTCCATGAGTGTGTGCATGCGTGTGTGTGAACCCTAACGGCACCCAGGATTGAGCGTAGATACTTTGGTTAAAGGCAGGTGCTACAGCTCCACCTTCTCGATCCAACTCACTCCTCCATAGCATGTGCTGGTCCCATCTCAGGGACATGACAGGCTCCAATTTCATAATAAACCTATGCGGTCGCTCTTTCACTGACATTTATGCAGCTACCGAGCCAGCATAACGCCCTGTGGCAAAGGGCTTCTGAGGCCCTTCTTTCTGGCCTGGGAGGCACACTGGGTAGCAGGGGAGGTTGAAACTCCCGCTTTTCCAAATGCTATCAGAAAGGAATTGAGTGAACCACACAGAATTCACAGGATTCCCCCATTTTTCCACCACCTCTGCAGGAGGTGCTCTCCGGGGAGCCTTCCAGCTCTGAGGTCCGGGACCCATCCAGGCTCAGAGTCAACTCAACCGGGAGAAAAGAAAACAGGAGGGTTTTGTTTGTTTGTTTTTTAAAGAAATGCTTTTCAACTCTAGCCAAACAATGCTGTTCTCTTCTCCAAGAAACAGGCCTCTGAGACGCCGAGGCTGTAAAACCTCGCACTGCCCTGGGGAACAAAGGTGATGTTCATGCAACTGAGCGGCTTCCCCTTAAACACAGCCTTGCCTCCAGTGTGACGGGAGAGCACAGACCTCAGCGCTCAGACACGGGCAGGGCACGGGACGTCTGGGAGACGGGATCACAGAACAGGGCAACTGCATTCACATTTCCTAACGTTATTAACAACCAAAGCATAAAGAGAACCCTCTCGAGCCAGGGGTGAGAGGAGGAGACCGCCTCCCTGTCCTAGGGGCTCAGAACGTGTTTCTCTGCTCTGCAGAGTTTGAAACATGCAGACACAGACACGCACACGCACACGCACACCCACAGGGATCTGTGCGGAAGAGCATGTGCCCCTTGCTTTCAGCCTGGAGCCGGTTTCCTTGGCTGGAAGCAGCTGACTGTAAATATTTATATGTGGATCTGGCTGTGAAAAGCGAAGACGCTCTTGGAGCCTCTGAGCTAGAAGCAGATGAAAGGCTGGCTTCTCCGCCCTGTTCCTGGCATCCCCAGGGCTCGCTTGGCTTTTGGCAATGGGGGCAGAGAAGCAAAGCACCACACACAGGTTGCTGGCCCAGGAAGTGACACAGGTGCCCGTGGACAGGGCTCTGTGCCGGCCTGGTCATCCTGAAAGGGGACAACTACTGATGCTCCCCTCCGGCTGCACGGATGAGCTGCCAACGGTTTACAACGCCCCCTTTGCAAAGGCAGGTCTATTTGCTGAGCTGGGCCAGGTGCGTCGGGGCCGTCTGCCTTCCCTCCCCCGTCTGACTTGTAAACCCAGTGAAAGACCAATGGGCCCCAGAGAAGCAAGAAATAAGAAACTGGTACACACATAAAAAAGCCTTAAAAACAAATGAGGTAATGATCAGGGGACAGACCCTGCTCTTAGTATTGTTTTCCACTTTGGCTCATTGTAACAAACCTCCCGCGATAAACTGATCATTCTTGGCTCTGAAAATGGAATTACGTCCTGAGAAGGTCCTCTCTACACATTTTCTCACTTCATGATGCTCAGAGAGCTAATGTTCTCTTCTCCAAGACGGAGGGTAAGTCTCAATGCTGAGGTTGTGAGAGGACGTCAGGGCGTCTCCACAAGCCCATCGAGCCAAGGCCATGGGAATGCGCCGGTGCCTGCGTGACCCCGTGCATGCCGCTGGGAATCGGGGAACTGGGCTCCACCTCAGCCCTGTCACTAACTGAACCTATGATCTTTGGCAAGTCGCCTTCCCTCTTGGGCCTCAGTTTGCTTTGTAAAATGAGAGGCTGGACCTCAAGGGGTCATCACGTGATGCCCATGGGCTGGGCAGACGGTGAACATGAGGAAAATCTTTGGATGTGAGTAAACTTCTCTGCAACAGAAGCCCTCTCGGTCTATTTTCTGCTATTCCACCATTGCCAGACACTCAGCTCCAAGAATTAGTTCACTTTCTGAAAAGCCAGTGGCTCATCTTTGATAATAAATGGCAACTCACGCCCAGCCTCACTGCTGGGAGACAACTGGGAGTGGCGGGGACTGGGGGAAACCAGGGGAAACTGGCCTGCTTAACGATGCAGCTCTGCCTCCATGCCAGCTGCTGTCTGCCGTGTGGAGATCCTGGTATTTATGGGAAATGTTCCCATTTTTATATATTAACAGCAAATAAAAAATTAATACAGTGCAGACCCAATGAAATTCATCTGCTGGCCAGCAGGGCTGGGTATGCGGGCTGCCAGTGTGAGAGCTCACTCGAGTCCTGCCTTCTGGTGCTAATTAACAATCTGCTGTTAAATAAATGACCCTCTAAGCCGGAGCTGAAAAGGACACATGTCCATTCGTCCCGACTCCACACCAGAGCCAAGGAGCACTTGATGCATTTGGGACGGTTGTGTTTAAACCAACAGAAACAGCAATCTAAGTTTATCATTATTACTTGGGGACTATGTAATCCACCCGGCAGTCGGGAGTGTTTGTGCTGTTGAGGGCCGTGGGTTCCTAAGACAGGATGAGCATGTGGGGCGCTCAGTTCTGCCGCTTACAACTGTGTGAACTCCCCTTGGGCTTTGGCTTCCTGATCGGTATAGCAGGTGAGCAGCGCTCGGCTCACCGAGGTGTCCTGAGGGTTAGCTCACGAGGACTGTAAAACTTTGCCAGCACAGCGCATGGGACCTCGTGGCCACCCTCCCAACGCGCCGGCCGCCTCGGTTCCGGGAAGTTCCATCCTGAAAGAGAAGCCTCACAGGGGCCACGCTTCCCATCCGCAGCTCCCTGCTGTGTAACTGCAGCGCCTGCTTAGAGAGAATTCTAAAGCCAGGTTCTCAGCATCTGGTAACCCTGCAGCCCCTGGGCTCTCAGCAGACGCAGCGTGATCCTGGCCGGTATAATAGACAGACTTGAAGGTTGAGGGAGACGAATTGCTGGAGGCCTCTTTCCCCTCCCTCTGTGCAGAATGCCTGAGCTCTCGGAGGGAGCGTCGCAGAGCCCGGAGGCTATCCCCGTGCTGAGTGACACAGCTTTTCTCCCAGGGTTCCTCAGCAACAAATGCCATCGTGTCAGAACCTGCTGTGATGCCCGTGGCCCCAAATCGCTTAACGTGGCCAGTTTCTCGTTTATAGTTTTAAGTTCATAGTTGCCCAATCCACAGGTCAGCCTAGCTAAAATGCTCGTTCTGGTGTCTTTTTTATGACAAACTCTATATATTGATATCCTAAGATATCAAGAGCTTTCACTTTCAATAAGAGGGTGGGGGAAGACGGTTACAAATCTTAGCGAGAAGGCGGGTTTACGGCATATCTAACGGCTGAACCATTCAACAGAGCTCGAGGAGAGACAGTTATTTATTCCTCAAAAAAATCAACAGAAGACCATGAATATCTGATGTAGCTACCCAGCCAGAGTTAAAATTTTAGGGAAAAACCTCGATGAAAATTACAGAATAGACTCAGTATGCACAGAAATGTTTCAGAAAAACCTCGCCTTCTGTCTAACCCATCAACAGAGAGATAGTTTTGCTCTGATGTAGGAAACAACAAGCGTAATCTTGTTAACTGAAGACAATTCTCAAAATCCTTGAAATCTTCTGAATCGCACATCAATAATTCTTTTGAATTTGCTTTTAAAGACAAGAGTTCATTGCAATTATTGATGGCAAAAATTCAACAACCTCAAGAAATCAATGAATTCAACTAGATAATTTGAGTCCTGATGAAATGATTTGATGTCCTGATATAATTTAGTAGCCCTGTTTTATGGAAGAGAAATAGAGGTTCAGGTAGGTCAAATTATTTACTGAAGGTTAACACAGCCCTAAAAAAAACTGTGAATGATTCCTAAATAGAGACAAAAGATCACAGATTTCCTTGGCATAACTGCAGTCACATCACTGCTAACTGCATGTTTGTCTTTATACCCCTGTAGTCGTGTGCCCATCAGGGTCACCACTGAATCCCCAGAACCCAGGACACTGCTGAGTGAGGGAAGTCACCTGTATGTGGTGACTGAATGAATATAAAC